TCAATAAATGGTGCTAGGTCAATAGGATACCAACATAGGAAAAACAAATGCATCTTTACCACTGCCTCACACCAAACACAAAAAAGTCAATTCCAACAAAGTACAGACATAAATATTTAAAAGTAAAACATAAGGGGTTTTAGGAAAAAAAACATGGAGATCATCTTCGAAGTTATGGAGTAGGCAAACATAGCCATAAAGCACTAGCCACAAAGAAAAAATTGTTAAGTCAGAATATATTTTGACTGAAATCAAAAGACAAGAAAATGAAAAGGCAAGCTACAGACTGATAGAAGATATTTGTAATTAGTTTATTTGAAAACAAACGCTTATCCAAAATATAAAAGAACTCCTACAAATCTACGGGAGAGAGGCAGACAATCCAAATCTGTAAAATTAAAAAATATAGATAGACCCTTTCACAACAGAGGTTACCCAAACAGCCAATAAGCATATAAACAGGTGCTCAATTTCATCAGTCCAAATCCAAATGACAATGCCATACCACAACCCTCTTAGAATAGCTGAAATAAAAAGAAAGAAAAATATTGTGTTGATGGGATGAGAAGTAACAACAATTCCCAAATACTCCTGGTAAGAGTATAAACTGGTACAATTGCATTGAAGAAATGGCCACAACCGGGCGCGGTGGCTCACGCCTGTAATCCCAGCACTTTGGGAAGCCGAGGCGGGCGGATCACGAGGTCAGGAGATCGAGACCATCCTGGCTAACACGGTGAAACCCTGTCTCTACTAAAAATGCAAAAAATTAGCCGGGCGAGGCGGCGGGCGCCTGTAGTCCCAGCTACTCGGGAGGCTGAGGCAGGAGAATGGCGTCAACCCGGGAGGCGGAGCTTGCAGTGAGCCGAGATCGCGCCACTGCACTCCAGCCCGGGCGACAGAGCGAGACTCCGTCTCAAAAAAAAAAAAAAAAAAAGAAGAAATGGCCACAAAAGGGAAACTATCCAAACCCCTTTTAACAGTAGAACAGATAATGAATTATAGTACATTTATATAATACTATACAGCAATAAGAATAGATTAGCCACAACGATACACATTAACAAGGATCATTTCACAAAAATAATGTTAAGCAAAAGAAGTCAAACATGGAATCTAATAGTAGATCCAATGGAATCTAATAGTTGATCTCATAGAAGTAGAGAGTATAACAAAAGTAGAAAAGTAGAAAAACAGGTAAATCTGTGGTGCTACAACTCAGGACTATAGTTTCTCTTTGTGAGTATAAAGACAGGAAGGAGGCAAAAAAGGAATTACCGGAGGTTGAGGAACTCCCTCTGTGTAGACATGACCTTAATATTCATTCCTTTAATCATGCTGCCAGAATACCAGCAGGCCCTGTAGTGAACCTTCACAGTATCTCTGCTATATACTTTACCTGCACAGACACAACAGTGATATGGACTCCAGGGCTAGGGAAGCCACTGAAAAAACAACTGAAGAGGTGTCCACTTGTATCAGAAGGTGCTAGTTGCCTACCATGTTCATTATATGTTTTCTGGTATATCTCAAATTGGTTTCCTGCAGGATTTACAACAGTCAATCAAGGAAGTTATGGGAAACATTGTGGACATGGAGAAAAGAAAAAAAAAAAAAAAACGTCGGGAGGGAACAGTTGTTTAAGATAGGGATCTTGGAGAAATTCAACAGCTAATAGACACCACACCAGAGGAATTAACAGAAGATGACTTGATGGAGATGAATGCTTCCAAACCAGTGCCAGATGATAAGAAAGAAGAAGAAGCAGTGCCAGAAAACAAACTGACATTAGGCAATCTGGCAGAAGTCTTCCAGTTATTCAAGACTGCTTTGACTTCTTCTGACATGGACCCCTCCTATAACACAGATACTGTAACTAAAGCAAACCGTGGAAGAATTGGTACTGTACAAAAACATTTTTTGAGAGTTGAAAAAGCAAAAGACAAATTAGTATGTATTCCCATAAAGCTATATTGAGTGGGTCTACCTGTCCTGCCTCCCCTACCACCTTCTCCATCTCTGGCACCCTTGAGACTACAATACCAACCCCTCCTCTTCCTTCTTCTCCTCAGCCTACTCAACACGAAGAAAATAAGAATGAAGACCTGTATAATGATCCACTTCCATTTAATGTATGGCAAATATATTTTCTTCTGATGATTTGCTTAACATTTTCTTTCCTCCAGCTTACTTTATGGTAAGAATGCAGTACATAATATATATAACACACAAATTATGTGTTAAACCACAGATGTTATTGGTACAGCTTCCAGTAGTCAAAAATAGACCATTAGCAGTTAAGTTTGGGAGGAGTCAAAAGTTACATGTGCATTTTCAACTACACGGGTGTGGGGGTCAGCACCCCCACCCCGATCCCCACATTGTTCAAGGATCAACTGTACTTTATTAACCAGTTTACCCATCTATCTTCCCCAACTGTGAACTCAAAGAGTACAGAGACAGTATTTTTTTTTCTCCTGTAACCTGAGCTCTGTTGCACTTCGTAGAATTTAGTATGTCCTTCATAAAGAATTAATTAATTAATAACACACCTAAATATATAACTTTTTTTTTTTTTTGAGACAGAGTCTTGCTGTGTCGCCCAGGCTGGAGTGCAGTGGTGCGATCTCAGCTCACTGCAAGCTCCACCTCCTGGGTTCATGCCATTCTCCTGCCTCAGTCTCCCAAGCAGCTGGGACAACAGGCACCCGCCCCCACACCTGGCTAATTTTTCTTTGTATTTTTTAGTAGAGACGAGGTTTCACCATGTTAGCCAGGATGGTCTCGATCTTTCGTTTTCCCAAGATGATGATAGTGGTGCTTTGTTTGCCTCATTACTAGAACTGAAGAATTATTTTCCAACTTCAACTTGGATTATAATTCTGGAAAGATGATCTATATACACACCAAAGTATTCATGAAAATAGGATATATATCTGGTATATAAGATAAATATGCTTTTTTTGTATTTAAGTAAATACAGTAGGAAACAAGGGAATATGTAGTATAGAAGCCTATAAAAACGAATTATATCATTATGTTAAGTGAAATAAGCCAGACACAGAAAGACAAATATCACATGATCTTACTCATAGGTGGAATCTAATAGTTAATCTCACAGAGAGTATAATGGTGTTTACCAGAGGCCAGGATGGTTGGCAGGGGGATGGAGAGAATTTGGTCAAGGATACATAATTTCAGTTAGATAGGAGGAATAAATTTCAATAAATCTATTATATAACATGAATTTATAGCAAGCTGGCTATAATGATGATATATTGTATTCTTTAAAAAAATGTAAAGAGTGTAAATGTTATGTACTCTTACCACAAAAATGATAACTATGTGAGGTAATGCATTGCTAATTAGATAGATTTAACCATTCCAGAATGTACATACACTTCATAGCATCATGAGGTACACAAAACAATGCCATCTGTCAAAAAATAATTATTATATGTAGTATTTCAAAAAGTTCACAGCATCAAAAATATTTGTAGGGGTGGGGGAACGGAGAGCATCAGGAAGAATAGCTAGTGGATGCTGGGCTTAATACCTAGGTGGTGGGTTGACCTGTGCAGCAAACCACCACAGCACACATTTACCTGCACATCCTGCACATGAAGCCCAGAATCTAAAGTAAAAGTTGAAGAAAAAAAATATTCAAGAAGTTTCTATCTGATATTGGACTGCTTTGTCACTTTTTGTTTTGGTCTTCCTAGTACTTATTTACTACAGGATAAAATTAGCACATACTATTTAATGTGTTCATTTTAAGTACTATGTTGTTTTCTATGTGTTAATTTTATCTTCTCCAGATGAGACCATTTTTATTACCATAGGTCTAAAAATGACAAGATTAAGTCCAAACCGACAGTAATCACTCAACAGCTATTTATTGAGTAACTTAAAGATTCAATATGAAAGCAACCTTGATCAAAGCTTTCCAGTTGATATATTGTGAAACAGGGTTTTATCCCAAACATGGTTGTAAAAAACAAGCAAACAAAAATCTTCCCCAAATGAAAAACTCCAGTCACTATTTAACAATACTAATTTCAATTTATCAAATAAAATCAGCCCAAAAATTTCAACAGGTCAGTGAAATTTAAAACAATTCGATGGCAAGAATTTCAACGAGGTTTGGCTCTAATTAAAAGGTATCACAGATCACTGTCAAAAGTCAGTAACTCAGTAGTGTAGTAATGATCTGGGAGTTCTTTTTAATTTAGACATTTGTCAATCATGATTGCCTTTACACATTACTTAGCCACTGTACCTGCTCAGTTTTGAGAAAAAATTTAAACACAAAAATACAACTCAAAATACATGTTTTTTCCACCCATAAAATTCGTATTTTAGTAATAAACTCTCGATTCAGGGTTCACAAAATAAAGTAGGTTTACTTCTAATTCTTCCTAGCAGCTTTTTTGGGGAAAGAAATCCTAAGTATTTTCTGTTATTTGCAGCTCCTTTAACAGCAAACGACAATTAAATGTGTGAACAAGGTTGTCAGAGTAACACTTGTCATTTACACCGCTTAGGACAGACATTCAAGACTTCCAGAAACACTAATTAAAATTAACAAAAGCTTCTTATCGGAACTTGTCAGAGAGGTATCTTTTGTCAGACACAGGAAAACCACAAAGTTCAAGAGTTTTCGCTCTAAGATTTAAATCCAAACCACCTACCAGTAGGCACTAGCGAACTAAGCCCGGACGCTCAGCAACCAACTCATTAAGGTAAGGGATCCCATCCTTTCCGTATAACACAAAATTAAGAAAAAGACATCGTGGAGAACACGGAGTGAATTTTCTGTCAGAAATCAGAAGATAAATGAGCAGGAAAAAAAGTCTCTCCTCACACACAGCGGAGAAAGGTGCAAGATACTACCAATTGCTTGATAAGCCCTAAGGGTTTATCGGTTCACCAACCTTTTCTTTAACTCAGTGTGAATGAAGGCACTCAAAAGGAGAAGAACGTTACGTGATATTACCTACCTCGGGCCCCAAAGAACCCTGAAGACCTTCAAACGGGACACAGGTGGGCCTTTCTCACCTGGGCCCCGCCAAAGTCGACCGTCCTTACGTAGAGCGCACTTTTCAGCAATACGCCTTCCCATTGGTTGGCTCGGGAGGGACGTCTCAGTCCTATTGGTTACGAGAGCCGCGGTTGGGGCGAGGAGGCGGGAGTTTGGGACCGGTTCTGACAGGCCGGGGGTTTGCGTTCCCAGAGTTCCTATTGGGTTAACAGTGCAGGCTCTAAGATGGCGGCAGTGGCAAGCTGCGGCAGTGGCGCGGGGAGTACTGGGTCTGCAGTGGCGACAGCCAGCAAGAGCAATGTCACCAGTTTCCAGAGGAGGGGTCCTAGAGCCAGCGGGACCAACGACAGCGGCCCTCGACTGGTGTCCATTGCGGGCACGCGACCGTCGGTGCGGAATGGACAGCTGCTGGTATCAACCGGGCTCCCAGCCCTGGACCAGCTCTTAGGTCGGTTCAGAGCGGAGATGTGGGCTCAACCGAGGGGAAACTTAGGGAGGGGACCTGTCGGGGAAGCCACTTTGACCCCACATCTCTCTCTGACCTCTAAACCTTCAGAGGAGGAGAGAATAGCCTAGTCTGATTGAGATGGAGGGGAATACGGGTTGTGTGGAGACTTCTGAGCGCTGTTAACTAAACATGTTTTAGTGCTCCCGCTCCCTATTTCGTTCCCTGCCCTCCAACCCCTTTTCAGATTACGGCGGAATTCGTACACGCTTTTTACCCTGAAATGCTTTCTCGTCAAGGGAAGACATTAATTTATGGAGATGGGCTTTCATTCAGGATACCTCCCTTCTGCTGTCTCCAGGCAGCTCACGGTTTAGACCAACTACAAAAGTTTTTATAATTGTGGGAGACAGGCTTCATTAGAAGATGGTGGAAAAAAATGATTTCCCCTCTGACCGTTAGACTGCCTATTCTCTGGTTATAAATCTTAAAACATTCTGGCTTTAAGAGAGCGTATATGTTAAAGGCGTATGTTGACACATAATCCTTATCAAGTATTCAGAGCTTGTCGTTGATACTTAGTCATACTCGTGTCTGCGTTAAATCTGTGTATGTATTTTTTGTTTATTTTTTCTATATACATTTTGCTTCCCAGTATTGATTACTAGTGCATTCCATTCGACATCTCTAAATTTAACTCACATTTTAACGAGGAAAGGAAGTCTAGTTCTTAGGCTTTCCTTTAAAATCTCTGGAATTTTTTATGAGAAGCCTGCTGAAGAATATGCTGGTTTCATAACTGTTATATTGAAAGGATTGACCAGATTAGGTTGGTAGGACAGATTTGCTGTGTTAATAAAGCTTCTAGATTAATTTCTATCTGAATGCTGTTTCATTAAAACCCGTCTGTGTTTACATTTCATAACTTTTTTCATAGTGTGTGATATGTGTCTGTTAAATCTTGTACACTTTCATAAAATATAGCTGTCATTGCTTGTTCTTGTACTTCGCTTGACATTTCTTTCGGTTATTTTCCCCTCAAAATAGGCTTTTCATAGGTTTAGTGCAGAGAAAAGAAGAAGACAAGCAACCTATGAAAAGAGTATGGCTTCTTGCTTCTGTCATTTCATTTCCCAGTTATTTTTTAAGTATTTTTCACTTAATTGTTTCAAGTATATTTTCCTCCTGAGTTGCATGGTACTGTAAACAGAAGTGATTCAAAATATCTAGTTAGCAAATATTTAGTTCTCCATTTTTCCCTTGTGAGCCTCAGTTGATATCCTCTTACATTTGAACTTTAAGTTTGGAAGCTATTTGTAGGCCTTACATATTTTTTAATTCAATGGGATATGTAACTTCATTTACTTGGTACTAAAACTTTCCAAACGAAAAGGTTATGTTTCTATTATAATGTCTTCAGTTCCTCATTAGAATAACAAAATGTTCCTAGCATACTTCCTGGCATTTAGTAGGTTCTCAATAAGTTGTTGATTACAAGAAAAATAATGTGTAGAAAAAAACTGAGACAAGAAATTATGAAACATGTAGGATGGAGTTTCATGTTTGAGCTCTAAAACAAATTAAGTGATATGAACAGTCTCACAAAACCAGTGACCATGTGGACTGATCTTTAGGCTTCAAATTTAGTGCTCTGTGCACTAGGCTACAGTGGTCTGAAATTTTTAGGAATTCTTTCCAGGGGTTTTGACCATTTATTGAACCTCGGATTAATGATTTAACTATCATCTCTTAAAGTACCCACAAAAAAGAGAACCCAAAGCACCTTCTATATGTGTTTCTTCAGAGATACAAACTTGAACAGTAACTTTTAAATTTTCCATATTTGCTTGGAATGAGATACTCTAGTAGGGTATTTAAGTATAACAAGCTTATACTAAAATTACTGTTCCTTAAGATGATGGAAACAGTATTGGTTGTTGAATACTTTGAAATATATTTTGCATTATGCAGTAAATTCTCAAAGTGCACAAAAGTTGAAGAGGTTATAATATAATTGACTACATCTTGAAAAATAAATATGTCCAGAAGTATTTTAGTTTTAACCTCTTAATGACATTTTTGTATTCTGATTTTCTGTATAAGCAATTTAGACTGTTATTACTCGAAAATGTTATTTGACTCAAGTTGTGACAAGCCTAATATGACCATATTGTGACAAAAGGTAATGATAATAGGATGTTATGGTGTTAGAATGGTAAGACTATGCTGTAATATTGTGAGTATTGCCTAAATATATTATGTGGTTACTGTGTAACAAGTAAATATTATAGCTTCCATGTAGTACCGTGACATTTTACTACTGCCACCATGATGTCATTGTCATTTTAAACATAGATGCAAAATATATTTGAAAGGCATCATACATGCTAATTGTTAGTCATTTGATGATACACTTATACTTCCATTACTTATTCCAGTGTTTTACAAATTTGAAAATTTTCGATATCTGCATCTTTCAAATGACCTAATATATAATGTTTTTGTTCCGACAACCTAATTTTATTATGAGATATTGATATACATTTCCCAAGTTAGCTACATTAAAATTTTTTTAATTCTCAGATTATCTAACCCATTTTCTCAGCCTTGCCCTTCTGGGATATTTATATTGTTATTTGAGGACACTATATGAAAATAACACTTATATTTTGGAAAAGGAAAGATAGGTATTCCATCAATTGAAGAGGTACTCCATTTCACTTCCAGGGGTTTCCAAAGAAAGATTGTAACAGCTAAAGGATTCTGACAGAATTTCCCCCTGCCTCCCAACCCCATTCCCCATAAAAGGTATACTCCATCTTAGGACCATGTATCTTACCTGGGAGAATTATCCACAACTTCATCCTCCAGAAAAATGCTTAAAGTAAGGGTAACTGCAGATTTGACCTCTGTGCTGTTAAATTTTGATAGGAGAATGTCGGATAGGGATTTGAGGTAAACAATACTCTAGGAAGAGTACTCTGAAAGAAGCTTAATGGTAGCAGCCATTTTTTAACATTGATGTCAAAAAGTAAACACTAGTGGGCTTATTTCCTTTATTATGTTAATGTGTATCATGGGATAATATACATTGAGCTTGGACTACGTATTTAACACAATCTTGGTTATGGTATTTTACCAACCAATATAATTAGCATACATTTAAGAATAATGTATTTTTTATTGCTATGTAAAATTCTTTCATGTGACTTAATCTATAGAACTATTCATGGTTCCTAGCTTTATTTTGATTCTCATGTTTGCCCAGCCAATAATTGTGTCATAATGAAGAGTAGTCACTATGTTTCATAACGCTTGGGGAAGAAAAAATAGACTTGTTATCAAAATAAATGCGATTTAATTTGAGGTCCAGCATTAATTAAGTAGTTAAGGCTATTGCTATGAACCAAGGAAACAATATGAACTTTCTTTTACGTTGCATTTTCCCAAAAATACTTTTTTATAATTTTAAGCAAAATTATTCCTTTATATAGAGCTCTGGAAAGGAGTGGCATAAATCACTGTTATTTTTCCTGACTTTCATTTCTTCTCCCTTTTACTTTCTTTAACATTGAAGAAAGGCTTTCATATTCTACTGTATTAATTTGACCTCATTTACCCAAAATTTATAGCTTAATCAGAGGTTTCTACTGGGGAGACTGTGGGGATTAAATGTTGTTCCTTTAAAATATTAATAGTACTAATATAATTGTCTTACTATTGCACGAATTGAAACAACAACAAAAGCCCTTTCATTGTCTTATGATTTTAAAAATCGTAAGATGGGAAGATCCTGGCATTTACAAGATCTTAAATTAATTCTATTATTATTTCTTAAGTATTAAATATCTTTTCTGGTTTTAAGAAAAAATCCCTATTTTTAAAAGATGTAAAATCTTGATGAAATTAATTCTTTAAAATATCAAGCTTGCTGAGTATCTTTAACCTTTCAAACCTTTATTTTGATTCTCATGTTTGCCCAGCCAATAATTGTGTCATAATTATTGAAGAGTAGTCACGATTCTTTAACCTTTCAACATCTTATATTCTTTTGTGTACATGAGGTACTCTACTTTTATTTTTAGTAAGCTGTAAATAAGTATACATCTTAAAGACATCTAGAAGTAAAACCAAGAGTTTATTTGCTGGCCGCGTGTGGTAGCTCACACCTATAATCCCAGCACTTTGGGAAGCCACGATGGATGGATTGCTTGAACCTGGGAGTTTGAGACAAACCTGGGCAACACAGAGACATCCTGGCTCTTCAGAAAATTCAAAAATTACCCAAGCTTGGTGGTGCACACCTGTAGTCCCAGCTACTCAGGAGGCTGATGGGGAAGAATCCCTGAGCCTGGGGAGTACAAGGCTGCAGTGAGCAGTGATCACACCACTGTACTCCAGCCTGGGTGGCAGTGAGACCCCGTTTCAAAAACAGAAGAGTTTATTTTGCTTAGTGGCTTAGAAAGTGTGTTGGTAATTTTTCTAAGTTAGGATGAAAGGGGAGAGGAAGTAGTAAACAAGGCCATTTTAGTAGTTTTTTGTTTGTTTTCATTACAAAAATAAGATGATTGCTTCCTTACCCTATTATCTGTAATACGTTGTAGTGGACTATTGGGAAAAGATATTTCAATTTTAATTGGGAACTATTAGTGTGAAGTCTATGTTGCTTTTGGAATTAGATAAAATTACTAATGGATTACTAAATTTAAAAGTAAGTTAAAAGCCAGCTTTCAAAGAATATGTCAGAATAGTCTGTTGTGGTTGGTTGGTTGTTTTAGCTTTTTATTTATTTATTGTTTGGTGGGAGCACGGCTATAAACATTCACACTTTTAAGTTAAAATACAGCTAGACCTTCCATTTATCAAGTAAGAGACATCAAAATACCTTATACAAAGGTATCTTGTGGAAATGTTTTGAGATCATGTCTCACTAAACTCAAGTTTAGAATAATCGAGAAATTTTGCTGCTGTATGCATGTATATACATATGTATAGGTCAAAATTATTTCTCTTAAAGCACGTAGAATAAAAGTTTGATTTTTAAAAGCTTTAAATTTGTTAATAAGTTTAAGTTAGTTAATGTTACATCTTACTTCCCACAACTATCCTTCACAATGACCAAACTTTACCAGAGCAAACCTAAATGTGAATCTAGGGAATTTACATGATAGAGCCTTCTTACCTTTTTGTAAAAGAAGTTTGAGAAGATATTTGGTTGATAAAAATGTTTTTAATCTGTCCCCATTATGTCTTAATGTTCAGATTTTCTAAACATTAGAATTTTAATACACATAAGATTTTTTAGGCTATGTGGTCGCTCACGCCTGTAATCTCAACACTTTGTGAGGCCAAGGCTGGAGACTAGTTTGTGCCCAGGATTTCAAAACCAGCCTGAGTAATATAATGAAACCCTGTCTCTACAAAGAACGAAAGAATTTAAAAAGAAAAAGAATTAGCTAGTCATGGTTACATGTTCCTATAATCCCAGCTATTTCAGAGGCTGAGATGGGAGGACCGCTTGAGCCTGGGAGGTTGAAGCTGCAGTGAACCATGATCGCACCACTGCACTCCAGTCTGAGCAACACGACGACACCCTGTCCCCCCACCCCCCACAAAAAAAGAGGAATTGCCAAAATGGTAAAGGTAGCCCTTCCTGAGTACCTTTCTGGGCCAGACACCTCTATTTGGTAATCACTTCGTTTAATTGGAAAACTTTTACATGATCTGTTCTCATTGTCCCATAGTGAGTGTTAAAAAAATCTTTCCTTCTCTGTCTGTCCCAGTGGAGGCCTTATATAAATTCCTTATTTGGGGAGACGTAAATGTAACTCAGGAGGTTAGATAAGAAAACTAAATCCTCCCTATGGGAAAGAGGTTAAAGTAAGAAACTTTTTAATAGTGCCTACTCTAGCTTAGACACCATAATGTCTCTTGTATGCTTACATCAATTCATCTCCTTATATGTACACAAAAAGGCTATTGTGTATTTAAATGTTTATTTTTGCATTTAAGGGAAAGTAGGAAAGTAAGGAAGTGTGATCTAAGATGTTCAAATGGATAAAAACATTAGTGTGGCACTATAAAATTAAACATTTAGTCTAATCTTATACCAAAGCAAACCCTTTGTTCTGATCCATTTGTTTGTTTGAGACTGGGCCTCACCTTGTTTCCCTGGGCTGGAGTGCAGTGGCGCGAACACTGCTCACTGCAGCCATGACTTCCCATGCTTAATTGATCCTCCTGCCACAGCCCCCCAAGTAGCTGGGACTACAGGTGCCAGCATGCCTTGCTAATTTTTGTATTTTTTGTAGAGATGGAGTTTTGCCGTGTTGTCCAGGCTTGTCTCAAACTCTTGAGCTAAAGTGATCTGCTCACCTTGTCCTCCCAAAGTGCTGGGATTATAGCCATGAGCCACCGCACCCGGACCTGATCCTTTTTGATGGCTATCATGATATATATATATCAGCTTATGTTTATCTTTTCATCTGAAAATTAAAGTTATCCTATGTAGTCTGATATGACTTTAAATGCTATAATGAAGGAAACTGTCTAAATGTAAACTTACGAAGTCTTATAAATATATAAACTTAAACATTGAAACATTTAAATATACTAGGTATTTTCATTATTTCCTTCCTTAAGAGTTTGAAATGTTCTACATATTGTCATAAAATTGATGTTTAGCCTCACTGTAAATCGCTTAGCATAAGTCTTATGTTGCATATTATTCTAGGTGCACGTGTGTTACCAGATTTCAAACTGTTTAAAACATAATAGTTATGCTTTTTTTGCAAGGCAAAAAATAAACACTATCAAAGGAACTTTTTTTTTGTTTTGAGACAGAGTCTTGCTCTGTGGCCCAGGCTGGAGTGCAGTGGCATGATTTCAGCTCACTGCAACCTGTGCCTCCCGGGTTCAAGCGATTGTCCTGCCTCAGCCCTCCTGAGTAGCTGGGTTTATAGGAGCGGGCCACCACATCTGGCTAATGGGGTTTTGCCATGTTGGCCAGGATGGTCTCGAACTCCTGAGCTTATGTGAACTGCCTGCCTTGGCCTCCCAAAGGGCTAGGATTTCAGGTGTGAGCCACCGTACCCAGCCTATCAAAGGAACTTTTGTTACTAAGTTTTTCTACATGACAAATGTGACTACAAAACTTTTTTGTGGAAAGTTCTTTATTGGTGTTCTAAATGTTTCTTTCAGATTTGTATACAAAAACCAAACAATTAACATTGACTCCAGTTGTCCAACAACTTAGAGTATTTTTTATTTTCTGGAGTCTTACTCTGTCGCCCAGGCTGGAGTGCAGTGGTGCGATCTCAGCTCACTGCAGCCTCCCTCTCCTGGGTTCAAGCAATTCTCCCGCCTCAGCCTCCCAAGTAGCTGGGACTACAGGCACCCACCACCATGCCTGGCTAATTTTTTTTTGTATTAAAATTTTAGTGGAGACTGGATTTCACTATATTGGCCGGGCTGGTCTCGAACTCCTGACCTCATGATCCACCCGTCTTGGCCTCCCAAAGTGCTGGGATTACAGGCGTGAGCCACCGCAACTGGCCTAACTTTGAGTATTTTTTAAATTATACTTTAAATACGTTTCTATTCTTTGATATTCAGTTTTTAAATTTTTAAGTGAATTTGTGTTTGAGATATTAATTAAAATGGTACTAGTTTTACAAATGGAGTGAACAGCAAAGTATTAGTACTCAAATGTCTTAGTGTAGTTCTAAGTTCTTTAATTTTTTTTTTTTTTTTTTTTTTTTTTTTTTTTTTTTTTTGAGACAGAGTTCCGCTCTTGTTGCCCAGACTGGAGTGCAATGGTGCAATCTTGGCTCACTGCAACCTCCACCTCCCTCTTTCAAGCAATTCTCCTGCCTCAGCCTCCTATGTAGCTGGGATTACAGGCATGCACCACTATGCCCATCTACTTTTGTATTTTCAGTAGAGACGGGGTTTCTCCATGTTGGTCAGGCTGGTCTCGAACTCCCGACTTCAGGTGATCCGCCTGCCTCGACCTCCCAAAGTACTGGGATTACAGGTGTGTGCCACTGCGCCTAGCCTTAAAATTAATTTTTAAATTGATTTTTAATGATTCACCATTTGAATTATATATTTCATGATTATATTACCATAAATCAGATTTTTTTTTTTTTTTTTCTGAGACAGAGTCTCACTCTATTGCCCAGGCTGGAGTGTAGTGGTGCGATCTCAACTGACAGCAACCTCGCCTCCCAGGTTTAAAAAATTCTCGTGTCTCAGGTTGGGCACGGTGACTCACGCCTATAATCCCACCACTTTGGGAAGTCCAGGCAGGTGAATCACGAGGTTAGGAGTTCAAGACCAGCCTGGCCAAGGTAGTGAAACCCCGTCTCTACTAAAAATACAAAAAACTAGTTGGGTCTAGTGGCAGGCGCCTGTAATCCCAGCTACTCTGGAGGCTGAGGCAGAAGAATCACTTGAACCCAGGAGGCAGAGTTTGCAGTGAGCCGAGATCGTGCCAGTGCTCTCCAGCCTGGGCGACAGAGTGAGACTCTGTCTCAAAAATAAATAAATAAATAAAAAATTCCCGTTTCTCAGCCTTCTAAGTAGCTGGGATTATAGGCATGTGCCACCACATGCGGCAGATTTTTTTGTATTTTTAGTACAGACAGGGTTTTACCATGTTGTCCAGGCTGGTTTTGAACCCCTGACCTCAAGTGATCTGCCCACGTCAGCCTCCCAGAGTGCTAGGATTACAGGCCTGAGCCACTGTGCCCGGCCTAATTCAGATATGTAAAAGAACACTGGTCTAGTAATACTGAAAATGTATTTTGTAATGATGATCTTTTTTTGTTTGAAATGGCAAATACGTTCCTTTTAAATTGTAAATATATTTAGAGCATGTCAAGACTTTGTGTATATTATTCATAATAAAGAAGAAATAGCATTCATTATCAATTCTTTACTTAAAATCTTACTAAATTTGAAGATAAATATTAATGTGGCATTTCTATAATCTTATCTATGTTTACTACTTCCGTAGTAAAGTTACCGTGCACATTTAAGTCTTGAGTTAACAAGTGCTAAATATAACATTATTGGGGTGCTTAACCACAGTTATGTTGAATGCTGTATGGTTCTATCATAGAAGAAAGGAGGATAGTACAGTATATTATGGAAGTAACTGTAGGGCAGGCATGGTGGCTCTCGCCTGTAATCCCAGCACTTTTGGAGCCCAAGGCAGGTGGATCAGATGAGGTCAGGAGTTCGAGACCAGCCTGACCAACATGGTAAAACCCCATCTCTACTAAAAATACAAAAATTAGCCGGGCGTGGTGGCAGGCACCTGTAATCCCAGCTACTCAGGAGGCTGAGGCAGGAGAATCGCTTGAACCCAGGATGGGGAGGTTGCAGTGAGCCGAGCAGAGATCGTGCCACTGCATCCCAGTGTGGGCGACAGAGCGAGACTCCCATCTCAAAAAAAAAGAAAAGAAAGTAATTGTAATGTGTAGTGTGTAATTACATATAATATGTAATTATTTTATAATAGCACCTTGAGCAAAGTATTGCAAAGGCAATTAAAATGTTGTTCACAACTGCAGTTTTAAAGTTACTGAAGTGCCTTTCCTTCATAAAGCCTAACTTTTATGTTAAAGATAATGGAAAAGGTAAATTAATTTTCTTCTGGTTTTGTTTCATTTCCAGGTGGAGGTTTAGCCATTGGAACAGTTCTTCTAATTGGTTAGTACAAAATACATGCTTTGCTCTCCTCTATCATTGTTTTCTGTTGTGCATAATCATTTTATCCAATTCCCATTCCAAAATTATTTAAATCACTAACACGACAGAACTTAAGATAAATTAGAGAGGAATTGACTTAAGTTCTATTTTAAATTCTAATGTTGATCTGAAATTGAAATAAATTAGGCAAATATATCTGAAGATGTAGCTCTTATAACTTAAAAATGTTTACAGTGCATTGTGCTCCATTTTTTAAAAAAGACTAAAATTAATGTGAATTGATTTTTTTGGAGAATCTCAGTATTTAAAGTGGGATTATTACAGGGATCAGTTTGGGAAATTGAAATACTAAGTCCATCGTATATATCACATCATTTTGTCATTATCTTTTTATTGAAACACAAGTAACGATTTAGTAAATCATATTTTAGTTCATCTTTAAAGTGACAAGAGTCCTTATTTAAGTGTATAACCATAATTTCCTTCTTTCTTTTTTAGTGTATATAGGTCACAGAATCTTGGAATTGAAATAAAGCTTGTCAGTCATATAATCAAAGCAGCCATATTAATATTTAATTCATGTATCTGTAACATATCTGTTGTTCCTATTTTTATCCTCTGATATAATACAGAATGAATTTACATAGTTTTTCACATGACACCCTTAAAATATTTGAAAATACTTATTTTTTCATCTCAAATATTCTCCAAACTAAATAGACATCATTCCTTAACCTGGTTTTATATGTTAGGGTTTTCACACACCTCACTGTTCTGATTGTTCTTTTTATGCACTTTCTAGTCTGGCATTCATTGTCTCTTGAACCATGCCCCGACCTAAATATAACATTCCAAATGTAATATGACCTGAACTCACCATACTGGGACTATAAAAATAAGCATGTTAATCTAGACAAAGTTATTAGTGCCAGGCACCAAAACATGACTTTATATTTATTGACCCCTAAGGTAACAAAAAAGTAAGTATTTTGGAAGAAATTGCCCCAAGAGTGAGTAAAATACAAAGGGGTGATGCTTAAAATTTGGCATGTATGTAAGAATTTGTCTAGTAAAGGAAAACGTTATCTAGAACATTTTATTCCTCATCTATGCTGGATAATTGAAGAGTAATAATAGTAGTAGTGAGAGCTGCCTTTTGTTTAACTCTTACTGTTGGTCATGTATTGTGCAAAATGCATTATGTGTTTTTCTTTGTTTTTGTTTTTTTTTTACTTAATACAACAACCTCGTAAGATGCTAAATATACTTCATGTTTTCTCCCTTTTATACATGAGGAAATGAGGCTCACAGGGATGGGGTAGTTTTCCCAGTATTCTGTAGTTAATCTAAGAACCAGGACTTGAATTCTGTGTGACTCCAAAACCCATCTTTTTTGTAACTATGCTCTAAAGTTTTTCACATGTTTTGTTTAATAGCGATAAACAATAAAATAGGAATTGCATCCCTTTTTAGATTATTACAGTTTCAAGTAGTAAAGTAAAACTCACATTTATGGAGATTTTTTCTTTTTATGAATTTTCAAATTTCTCAACATGCAGGAATCCTTTATAAATTAATGCACAATAAGGATCAAAGTTGCAGCACTATAAAAATCCTTATTTCACATGATCGGCATTTCTCCATTCCAGTCAAAAAATTTTGTCTTTAAAATAGAAATCAATATATAAGGAGTGCTAAAAACATCTTCAGGTGTACAATATTTGTTACATCGGTTTATATAGTTGTAGCATATTGCTATTAAAAATGTAATATATTAATTTTCTGAAAGTATACCATTTAATCGTTTTGGCCCTGTGTTCTCTCACCTCAGCCATTAATTTCCTTGTTGGCTCTTGACCGTGAAGTATCTGCCAACTTCTTACCAATCATTTACTTTCAGCAATACAATATAATCTTCTGGAAATTTACCTAGAATTTAGTGCCTGAGTATCCAGACAGTAGACAATTTTTAATAAAAGCTAAGTAAAATATGTCTTATGAGATACTTATGTCACCCATGAGTCATTAAAGTAGTTTAAGGACTTTGAAGACAGAATTATTCCTAACACTACATGTAACAGAAAAAAATAACCTGTGATCAAGAAATTCTAGAAATGATTATCTCAGTTACATTTTTAAGAATGTATCTTACGGTAAATAAAGAATGTCTGAAGGTGTTTATTGAGAAAATTATCTACATGTTTGGTATAAATACATAAAATACAAAAACGGTGTGTAAAGAAAATTAAGTTGCTTTTTCAAAACCTCAGCCTCCGTCCCTTGAAATTATAGTGTCCTGGGTATTCCACCCAAATATTTCTATGTAAGTAATATACAGGGGAGCATTTCACACTTTGCTTTATCTACTTAATACATCTTAAACCTCAATTTATGTACATTCATATAGATGTACTACTTCATTCTTGTTAACAACTGCATAGGATTTTATTGTATAGATGTGCCATAATTTTTTGTAGTAGTTCTCTACTGAAAAATTTAAATTAATTCCATCTTTTTCTATTATTAACAATGCTATTGTGCATAATCTTGTGTGTAACCTTTGCACACATATGTAAATATTTGTAGGAAAAACTCTATAGACTTGCTTCATTGCGGCATGTTAAATTTTGTTAGCTATTATTAGATTGCTCTCCCAAAAGGTTATACTGTCTCATGCTTCAGCCAACAATTATATCGGTTTACCCTAATCTCACCCTTGACAACACTTGTATATTATCAAATGTTTTAATATTTACCACTCCAATTACATTAGATTAGCAGATGAAGTTCTCCACTTTTCTTTTTTTTTTAGAGATGAGTCTTGCTCTGTTTCCCAGGGTGGACTGCAACGGCATGATCGTAGCTCACTGCAGCCTCCAGCTCCTGGGCTTATGTAGTCCTCTCTTCTCAGCCTCCTGAGTAGCTGGGACAGCATTCACACCACCATGCCCTGCTAATTTTTTATTTTTATTTTTATTTTTTGGTAGAGGTAGGGCCTTGCTATATTGCCCAGGCTGTCATTAAACTTCAGGCCTCAAGCAGTCCTCCTGCCTCTGCCCCCCAAAGTGCTGGGATTATTGGTGTGAGCCACTGCATCTGGCCCCAGTTCTCCACTTTTCTTCATTCCCAAGTCTATGTGACTTGTACAATGAATTAAATCCGCTTGAAGATATGGAAGCATAGTTTCAAAATATAAAAATACGAGGATTTTAGTTCAGTGTTTAGCAGCCTAGGGTGTTACTATATTGCTCATCACTGAAAGACTTTTTTAATTCCAGAAGTAAAAGAAAATTAAAACATGAAGATTATTTGCATTAATAATATTTTACTATAGATTTCCAACTTTTTAACCATTTTCTCATGAAATAGTTTATTCATTTACCAAGGCAGTTTTATGTAGAAGCGTGTACCTGTGCAAGAGTGTGGGCTTTCAGAGTACTGTATTTACAGCTTCAGTAGCAATTTAACTATGGAAACGAGAGCTAATGGGCACTGCCAGAAAAACCTAAAATAAGTCCACTTTAGACCTTCTGAATACAGCAAAATAAATATATATGAACAGATGAAAGGAAATTCTCTGAGGAGTAAATTGAAGAACTAAGGGACTCCACTGTGTACTTCAAAAATGTAAGATGGTTGTCAATTAATAAAACGAAAAATCAAAGATAGATTTTTCATAAAATATTTAATACTTAAGTACTGGAATAGGCTTTGAGATGTTTTATCTATATTACTTTCTGACAGTCTGTTACATGGGTAAATGTGGAACAGCTTAAAAGTTTCAAAAGTTAATTGTCACCTATTAAAATTATAGGTGACATTTATCAATGTATTATTTTTAAAATAATCTTTTACATTAATTACATAATTTTAGTTCTAGACCTGGAAGATAAATGATACACTTTTGGACAATTAAACCTATTATCAGTGTACTTTTGTATTAATTTTTTCTGTGTAACAATATTAACACAAATTTTACAGTTTATAAAAACACAGATTTATTTATGTCATAGTTTCTATAAGTCAGGAATCTAGGCACACTTCCACAGAGTCCTCAGCAAGCCTGCAATATAGGTGTCAGCCAGGGCTGAGTTCTCATCTGAAGGCTTGACAAGGGAACTATCTGCTTTCAAGCTCATGTGGTTGTTCGCAACATTCAGCTCCTTGCTGATTGGCAGCCAGAGGCTGCCCTGTCCATAGGGCATCTCACAAGATGGTGTCTTATTCCTTCAAAACTAAGAAGAGAGAATGTCCCTCAGCAAAATGTTATAGGTTTTTGTAACGGAAATGACATCCTTTGCCATAATCTCTTAATTAGAAGCAAGTTCCACATTCTGCTGCAGTCAAGGGGAAGAGATACAAAAAGGCATGAATACCAGGAGACAGGAATCATAGGGGCCACCTTAGAATGTGTTCACCACACTTTTCATAATTTTAATTCATATTATTTCCTGTAATAGCAAAAACTAAGCAGTCTCAATAGCCCTCTCACAGGATATTACAGTATTTCTTGTCAGTCATCTAAAACCTTTCTGAATTTGCTGAACTATATTTTTCTTCTACATCATGCAATAAATTCTGAGCTAACCAGCCAGAGCAATATGGCAAAACCCTGTTTCTACAAAAAAATATAAATATTTACTGGGTGTGGTGGCATGTACCTGTAGTCCCAGCTACTCAGGAGGCTGAGGTGGGAGGAGTGATTGAGCAAGGGAGGTTGAAGCTGCAGTGATCATGCCACTGGACTCCAGCCTGGGTGATGGAGCAAAATCCTGTCTCAAAAAGAAAATAAAAATTCTGAGCTTTTTTCTATGCAGGAATTGGCAAACTACAGCCTGCTAGCTGGTCACCTAGTTTTGTAAATAAAATTATATTAGAATATGGCCGTACTTATTCATGTGCACATTGTCTGCAGCTTCTTTTGTGCCACAAGGACAGAAATGATTAGTTGTAACAGAAACTGTATGAATCACAAGTCCTAAAATACTTGCTTTCTGATT